TTCAAAAATCGATGATGTTGTTTTCTTCGAATTGTCATCAGAACGATCATCATGAGACCACCATCTGAAACGTGCTGACGCCCACCACAGCCCACCTCTCATCATTCTGTAGACAAGTTTTTTTTATTAGCATAGTAGTAAATCAAGAAACAAAGGAGCGAACGAATAAATGATTAACTGAATGATTGAATGATTGGTTGAATGAATGAACTAATTAATCAATCAATGATTTAATGATAGAATAAATTAATGTCAATAAATGGAAGAATAATTTGAAAGATTGAGTGATAAAATGAACAAATAAATGAATGAGAAAAATAAAAAAACGAAATTAACCTTACTTCAAAAATTGTCGTTACAGTAATTTATTGCACCGACCACCATCATCTGGTCGGCACAAAAGATTTCATCCGAACTTCTGAGTGTCAGTCGAACAGCCAACGCGCTGATTCTTTCTACACCACCATCATCATATGTAAATCATCATGAGACCACCATCTGAAACGTGCTGATTCCCACCACTGCCCACCTCTCATCATTCTGTAGACAAATTTTTTTTATTAACGTAGTAATAAATGAATGTTAGAATCTTAGAACCCAAAAATTATACAATAAAAATAATGGCAAATAAATAATATCTTAAAATAATAAAGAGAGTAAAATGTAAAAAAAAACTTACCGTCGTCCATTCGACAAAGGCAGAATGTTGAATGCTTTCCGGTTCCTACGCTGTCCTCCAAAATTGTGCCAGTCCTCCTCGAGATTGTTGTTGAAACATAGCCCGTGGGATGGATAAAGAGAAAATTCTCATCAGAAAGCTTAGCGGTGCTTGCATTGCTCAAATTGCATTTACTCAAATTGCATAATAAAAATAATCCTATCTACCTATTCAATTACCTTAGCTAATCTATATTAAATTGTTAATGGTACGATAGTCGAAAGTCCCCCTTCATTCTCCCTCCTTGCACAGAGGTTCACCGATAGCCAGGGCACCGGATAGTAAACCATTGCCGTGCGGATAGTAGACTATTGCCGTGCGGATAGTAAACCATTTGCCGTCCGGAAGCCGTGCGGGTAGTAGACTATGGCCATGCCGCATAGTAAATCATTACCGTGCAGATAGTAAACCATTGCCGTCCGGATAGTAAACCATTGCCGGTTCACCACTGGCCACCAAGGCTTACCTCTGACAAGAGACTTTGAAATTCAGAGTCTATCGGCTATCGTACCCTCAACTTACCTATTCATTACAATTAAGTCCTAGCTTACCTAAAATTACAAAACTCAAGAGCCCAATTCATTGGCCAATCGGCACCCACCCCACCACCTACGTAATGCCTTGGGCTCCAACTTAATAATAATAACATAAAACTTAAACCCTAAATCTAATAATGAGTATGTGTTACAACGTAGCCTTAACTTACCTATTCATTACATTATGGTACTAGCTTACCTAAAATTACAAAACTCAAGAGCCCAATTCATTGGCCTTTCGGCACCCACCCCACCACCTACGTAATGCCTTGGGCTCCAACTTAGTAATATAAAACTTAATAATTAACCTACCTATCGATACACTTACAGCGTTTTAATTTACATTACAAGATTGTTCCTAGAATTACATTATTGCCCTTAACTACCTATGAAATTAAATTACTCTCAACCTTAGTAATAATAAATTAGAATGTGTAATGAATATAAAATTACGCTCAAATACTAACATATGTGTTTATGTATGTACTTGTGTGTGTGTGTGTAATAACGCTGATGCGTGTAGTGTGGGTGCAAGAAAAAATAAAAGCGATAAACTTACGCAGCCTACCTATTCAACTACATTAGTGTTGGATGCTTCCTATCTATCCTACCTACAATTAAAATTATGCTTATCTAACCTACCTATATCGCTACTTAATGTAATTGTGTGTGCGTGTGTGTGCGTGAGAGAGCATTCTTACTTAATGTTAAATTACAGAGAAAAAAGAATAAAACGTATCCCAGCCAGGCGTGTATTCTTTGCCACTGAATGAACGAACGTAGCCTGACATCTTCCATGATGAACTCCTCTGGAAGCTTCAACCTGAACGAAATGAAAATATCTTATTTATTTAATTAATTTAAATGAAATTAGAGAAACAAGTCGCGGTGAAACCCGCCAGCCGGAAAAGCCAGCTAACTGGCAAAGAAAAGAACCGCAAAGATACCGTAAAACGTACCCCGACCAGACGTGCATTCTTTACAACTGAATGAACGAACGTAGCGTGACATCACAACCATTTTTATCTTCCACGATGAACTCCTCTGTAAGCTTCAAACTGAATGAATGAACCTGAATGAACCTAAATGAATGGAACAATCTTATTTATTTAATTAATGTAAATAAAAATAGAGAAACGCAAAGGAGCCGACCGGTCGGCAAAGAAAAGAACAGAAAAGAAACTCTAACTCTATATAACTCTATATAACTCTATATAACTCTATATAACTCTATATAACTCTATATAACTCTATATAACTCTATATAACTCTATATAACTCTATATAACTCTATATAACTCTATATAACTCTATATAACTCTATATAACTCTATATAAC